TGTAGCCATTCCTCTGTGAATATGTTAAAAAATGTTATAAAAATTTGGATTTGGTAATTTCGGGTTTTTTTTTTGAAGTCTTCATATTTTTGACAGTTACTGGGTTTATTAGACAGTGTATATTAAGCCCAGCAAATTTCAAAATGTTATTAAATAAATCTTTGTTGGAAAACCACATACAGTTACATGCTGCATAATGACATTCAAAGATGAACTTCATATGCGATGATGGTCCCAGAAAATTATAATGCTGTGTTTTTGTTGTACCTTTTTCATTTTTAGATAGATTTAGGTAGACAGATGTTTACTATTTTATTAAGATTGCCTGTAGTATTCAGTACAGTAACATGCTGTACAGGTTTGTAGCCTAGGAGCAATAGGCTATACTGTATAGCCTAGGTGTGTAGTAGTCTATATCATCTGAGTGTAAGTACCCTTTATGATGTCTGTACGGTGACATTATTACCTAATGACACCATTTCTAATAACATACCCCCTTTGTTTCTCAAGTTCTCATTTCCCGCAATCCCTTTTTATTAGGTTACTAATGTTTGGTTTTTGGTGTATCTTTCTAGAAAGATTTTATATGAAAGTATGTATGTATATGAGTGTACATATTTTTGTGTATGTATTCATCTCTAAGTGGGATTTTGCCATACATCCTTGCTTTAATGTTCTTCCCATTATCAGCTCAGAGATCTGCTTCATATGTGACTGCAAAGCATTCCATTGTATGCACACCATGATAGTACTAAGTTTGTAACATAAGCTTTGTATACTATTCTGAAGAATACAGTTCCACAATTGGCAAAATCAGATATAATTCCTGTCATAAATCTTGTTTTCTGATCAATTGGGAGAGACAGACCTTAGGTTACACTCATTTATAATTATAGACTGAGACATCTTACGATGGAAAGAAATAGAACTTTATAGGTTTGTGTGCAACCAAGAAGTCTACTTGATGTGAATGCTTTGGTTGGAGAAAGTGTCTCTGAAGAGATCACCTTGAGCTGAGAGCCAGAAGACGCTCAGGACTTGTCCACTTTTGGAAGAACTTTTTGCTCTGTGAACATGAAAAGCAAAGACTTTAGATTATAATCTTTATAAATTTTTTATGGTAGAGTCTCTTAAGTGAATAACTAAGGCTGGAGATTGGCATTTAAGACTTCTTATATTCTTATGACCAGATTGCTCTCCAGAAAGATAGTGGCCAGAAACAAGGATGCATATGGGGAGGACACAAAAAAAACACTGGCATGATCTTTTGGAGGGTGGGCCCCTTGTAGTACACTTGGAATTTGTTCCTCTGGATCAAATGGTCAATTACAACTTCTATCTGGAAGTTTTTGGGAAGGTGTGACACGATTTGTGGAAGAAACTTGTGGCAAACAGGTGACTGGCTCTTTCAATATGACAATGCAATTTTTTTTGGTTTTTTTTTTTTTTTTTTTGAGTTGGAGTCTGACTCTGTCGCCAAGACTGGAGTGCAGTGGCCGCAGCTTCGACCTGCTGGGCTCCTGCGATCCTTCCGCCTCAGCCTTTCAAGTAGCCGGATTACAGGCATGCGCTACCATGCCTGACTGATTTTTTGATTTATTGTAGAGATGAGGTCTTGCTGCCCAGGCGGGTCTCGAACCCACGGGCTCAGGCAATCCACTCACTTCAGCCTCCCAAAGGTGCGGGATTACAGGCTGAGCCACCAAGCCCGGCTGACAATGCAGTTTTGGGCCAAAAACAGCATGACCCCCATGCGCCACCATTTCTGTTCATCCAGTCTCGCTCTGAGCAACATTTTCTTATTTCTTGATTAAAAAGTCCCAAAAGGGATACGTTTTGCCAATATGGAACAGGTGAACCAGAAAACAGCAGAAGCACTAAAAGGCATCAAAACTGATGAGTTTCAAAAAGTGTTTTGAGGCTGGGCTTGGTGGCTCAACCTGCAATCTCAGCACTTTGGGAGGCTGAGGTGAGTGGATTGCCTGAGTCTGCGTGTTCGAGACCAGCCCAGGAAACTTGGTTAGACTTCATCTCTACGATAAAAGGAAAAATTAGCCGGGCATGGTAGTGCGCTCCTATGGTTCCAGTTACTTAGAAGGCTGAGGCGGAGGGATTGCCAGAGACCAGCAGGTTGTCGCTGGGGTGGTAGTAAACATGCCACTGCACTCCAGCCTGGGTGACTAAACACTAAAAAACACTAAAACACTAAAAAAAAAGTGTTTTGAGCAGCAGAAGAGTAGTCTCAGTAGATGTATTGCATCAAATGAAGTACTTTAAAGGTGACTGAAGTTTAAGCATGTAAGAATAAGTACATAATTTTTTATAAATAAATTCCGATGTTTTTGGGTACCCCCTCATATGCGCACCACAAGTTTCCCTGTATTAAAATAAAATTTTTGGTGTTGTCGTAGATGAACTGGAATCCTACTTGGCATTTCTTGGATCTCTAAGATTCAGTATTTTGAAATAATATTCATAATTTGCTAAACATTTTGTAAATGCTGGCTATTTACCCATTATCACTAGAGAAATTCATTAGTACTATTAGGAATTATTTAAAACAAATAGAGGCTGGTACTCAAGCCTGTAATCCCAGCATGTTGGGAGGCCAAGGTGAGAGGATTGTCTGAGCTCAGGACTGCCTGAGCCAGCCTGGGCAACTTGGTGAGACCTTGTCTGTACAATAAATCAGGCGTGGTTGCATTCGCCTGAAGTTGCAGCTGCTTATTAAAAGGCTGAGGCGGAAGGATGTCTGAGCCCAGCAGGTCAAGGCTTTGGTAGCAGTGAGTGTGCCACTGCACTCCAGCCTGGGCAACAAAATGAGTGACTCTGACTCGAAAAAAAACCAAACAGAAAATATTAACACATTAGGGTGTTAGAAGAAAATATTAACAGATAAAGGATATTAGAACAGTTTCCTTTATAATTAGTCTAAAGGATAGATACTGCATCCATAATAATGATTTCCTGAAATGTTAGCACTTAGCTGCTAAAATCATTATGTTGACTCAGTTAAGTAATAGGCATATTAAGCATGTTGTATGAGAATATTCACTTGTAGGATTTTGTGGGTTAAGTATATACTAAAATTTTATTATTTTACAAGATATTATTGAGCCGGCTCGGTGGCTCAGCCTGTAATCCCGCGATTTGGGAGGCCGAGGTGAGTAGATTGCCTGAGCCCGCAGGTTCGAGACCCGCCTGGGCAACTTGGCGAGACCTCATCTCTACAATAAAAAAAAAT